AGAAGCGATTATTGCGATGAACTGGTTTCCATTAATCGTATGCATCGTATCTAATTTGAACTAGTCACCAAACACTTGCTGTATGATGTATTCAAAATGGCGGCAGTCAATCGAAGAGGAAGACTTGTAGCGTGTTATTTTCTTTTGCGTGTGCTGAGAAGAAGGCGAGAGCGAAAGCAAAAAAGAAAACATCGTTTTTGGGTTCGTCCCATGTTTCAAAGAAGAGAACGTCTTGGAATTTTTCATACTCTTGTTCAAGAAGTACGTGGAATTACGGATGTATCATGGGATATATCAAGTCGCTTATGGCGTAACGATCGTTTTGCACCGGTTTCCATTAAAAAAATGCAAGCGCGTAAAAGGTGTTTCCGTTCGTTTCTGTCGCAAGGATAGAACTCTAGTCTATCTCAAACGATCGATACGCAAGGATCGTTTCGAACGTAAGGATCGCTTTTGTCGTTTGAGTTAAGCGTTTCCATAGGATCGTCTCTGTCGCTTCTACAAATTGCAAGCGACAAAGACGATCCTTACGACAGGAACGATCATATGGAAACCGGGCTTTAGTCATGAAATCATTTTATAATGCTGTGTCTATTGTAGGTTTTAAAAAAGGTTTAACGCTTTTAAAAGGGCAAAGGAAGAATATTCGGAAGCATGACATTTAGCAAAAGCGGCTATGATTATAAGAAGAGATATATTTCAAACAAAGAACTCATTCAACGGAAAATTTTCCGAAGATTGTCAAAATGATTCTGTTCCAGCATCATTAAAAGTTGTTAAGATATGATACTTAAAGGAGCCATTGAAAACAAACAACCGGCAGAAAGAGATCCAAATCAAACTGGCTTAACCATCTCTTAACAAATTGTCTTCAGACATTTTAAATGAACGACGAGTTTTTTTATCGTAAACATGTTTCGGCATGCTTATGCCATCTTCAGTACATAGAGTGAAAGTAATTATGCTATTTACATGATATATATATATATATGTATAAAAGATAAAAAGTTTCTCCGGATTTTAAATGATTTTTATTGAGCTTTCGACTCGTTGCTTCGAGCCTTCATCAGAATGAAATCGAGCTACAACACAACTAGACAAAAATGACATCCTAGACTTACTCAACCTTTGCCTCTCCACTGAATTCACCTTCCAAAACACATACTACAGACAAATTTCCGGCACACCAATGGGATCACCACTATCCACCTTCCTCGCAGAAGCTGTCATGCAACACCTCGAAACACAATCAGTCTCAAAGAACACATGCATCAGACTATGGAAAAGATATGCCGACGACATCTTTGCCATAGTCAAGAAAGACAATACTGAACAAATCCTACACACCATAAACAATACCACAAAGAACATTACCTTTACTAAAGACGAAGAACACGACAAACAACTTACCTTCCTCGACATCCTACTAACGAGAACAGATGACGGTACACTAAACACACAAGTATACCGCAAAACCACCCACACAGACCAAATACCCAACTTCAACAGCAATCATCCAACAAAACACAAAATAAGCTGCATTCGAACACTTTTCAACAGGATAAACACTCATTGTAATACGGAAGAAGCCAAAAAAACAGAACGCAACTACTTACACTCCACATTTATTAAAAACAATTACCCTAGAAACTTCATAAACAAAACTATATACAAAATACAAAACAAAACACAAACCGACAAAAACAGCAAAAACCGGACGAAACAGTAAAATCGTCACATTACCATACATAAACGGAACATCAGAAATGACTGCCAGACTTCTTCGACCATTTAATATTAACGTCGCCCACAAACCTACACAAAAACTCAAATCATGTTTCACCAAACATAAAGACAAAACAACAATTCATGATACAACTGACGCGATCTACATGATACCATGTAAAGACTGTTCAAAACAATACATAGGACAAACATCTAAGAAAATTGAAACAAGACTCACAGAACACAAAAACGCCATTAAACGACGAGATCCGAACTCACTACCGGTAAAACATTCCCACGGAAACAACCACACATTCGACTGGACAGAAACTAAAGTACTCGGACGCGCACAGACTAAACACGCACGCGAATTTAAAGAAGCCTGGTATAGTAAAGACAACGACACAATAAACAGACATATCGACATACCCATCATATACTCACAACAAGGAATGTCGTATGAATGTTTTATGCAGTGCGGTGTTTGAAATTAAATGAAGATATGATCTTCGCACTTTTGCTGGACAATTTAAGCAATCGTCTCAGGACCTGAAAAAATCAGGTGACTCAACGGGATTCGAACCCATGACCTCTGCGGTGCCGGTGCAGTGCTCTGACCAACTGAGCTATGAAGTCACACAGTGGTGAGCAGGTCAATATTGTTGGGCTCATGTTTTCTCGTGAAAGGAATGTCGTATGAATGTTTTATGCAGTGCGGTGTTTGAAATTAAACGAAGATATGATCTTCGCACTTTTGCTGGACAATTTAAGCAATCGTCTCAGGACCTGAAAAAATCAGGTGACTCAACGGGATTCGAACCCATAACTATGACCAATCATATTAACAATACACCAAAACCCATGGCAACGCATTTCACCCCATCCAATCACATTAATCCACCCACTAATCCAATTAGGCACTCTAAACGTCTCCAAGCTAAAAGCACGTGTAAATAAATATCCTCATTCTGATGAAGGCTCGAAGCAACGAGTCGAAAGCTCAATAAAAATCATTTAAAATCCGGAGAAACTTTTTATCTTTTATGTATTCCTATGCCTGGATTACAAATTTTCAAACTTAATTATATATGTGTATGTGACTATTGTTCTTACCTCTCTCGCGAAATCCTAGGTTTCCAATTCAAATTTAACTCGAGAAATAATGCCTTAATTGTTTGTATTTTTGCCTCTTGTTTGATCGCCATTGTGTACATGCAAGCGAAGCCGCAGTCCAGCAGCGGTTTCTCGTCGTTACGTCACTGCGCGGTGATCGTTGTCAACATTAGACAAAATATACTAGCAAAAGTAGAAATTACGCATAAGCATATTCGTCGTTGCATTTTATTTTCTAAGTTTTTAAATTATTTTGCGCAATGGATACGGATTACTCAAACGATTCCTCTAGTAATTATTCTGGAAGCAGTGTTTCAAACTACGAAGAAATGATTAACGATCAAAACATGATTCAACCATATGCTTATGAGCCGATTGAAACAGACTCTAGCGACGAGCCTATGGACGACTCCGACGAAGTTTAGCTGTTGTAACAATGAATGAAGACTCTGCACAATTTGAGGGAATAGATACTCCGGACTGTATTACAGATAATCCTGTTTTTCGAAATCTTTGTTTAAATTATTGGGTATTACGACTGGCATGGAGTGAGTACAAACAACACTATGGTTCAAGAGCTGAAGAAGGACCTGAACACAAAAGACAAAGACATGTGGCTTACAGGCAACTGGTTCGATGGTGTTGGAATGTATTGGGCAAGGAAATTAGAGTACCACTACCATCTTTTGCTGTTAGCTGCATTCGAGCACATTTCCAACCACCAGGTCTAGAAGAGGACTTTGTCTTTGAGGGTTTTAAATACGCTGATGAATAATAATGGTAATTTAAATTATTATAGCCATATTTATAAGTATCGTTAATGATGAATTACTAATAAATAAATATATAAATTGGATTTAGTAAATGAACAATAAATACAAATTATAACAGATAAAAGCCGATCGTACGAGATGCACAATCCCAACTTGAAAAAAGCGTCGATAAGTGATTTGTCTCTTGTAGTTCCATGAATTTTGAGGGACTTGTATATTGGTACCGGACATTCCTTTTCTCTAGTGTGATGAGGTCTTGACGCTTCACGCTCGCGTGAAGTGCAATTGAAGACAACTCTCCTTTTTCTCTTTAACTGAAAGAAGCGCTCTACAGCAAATAGCTCAAACCAGACCTCAACAAACAAATATACCACATTAATACAATATTTAACCTGTAATATAATATCTAACACTAATTCTGCAATTTAATACACTTAAAGGAGTAGTCAGACCTTAACACAACTTTCACTCATATGAAAGTTTATATTGCTCTCCGACATAGCTAATAAAGTAATAGCAAGGTACGAGAGTGATGACGTTGTTTGTCCGTCGAAGTTACGGAAACGATTGTTTACAACTGCAGCAGTTGACAACATAGATCACAATCCCATCTCCACAAGTGCACAAGACTCTTTCCACGGTACAGCAATTTTGCTCGTGCAGCATCCAACAGTTCATGAAAATGGTGAGAGTAGAGAAGTAGATTTATTTGATTCGATGTAAATGCGTGAAAGCACACTTAGTTTGTACTGGTTTGTGTAATTGTGGGGGTGATTGTCAATAACATGATGGCATTAAAATCATTTTTATATTATTGTTCTTGGTTAGTCGCTTTTCCAATGTATTTAAGAAAGAGCAATAACATTAAACAAAAGTGCTGAGTCAGCACTTTTGAAACACTTTTAATGTAGAATATTTCAGAATGTATTGCTCAAAAGCAAAAATTGTAATATAGTTTTTCTATATTACAATTTTCTCTTTAGCTGTTGTATAAGAATAAACAGAGAAATTGCGATGACTCCGAGCTTTTGTTTTTTTACTACTGAAAACGTCATCAAACAGGACATGCGCAGAACGCGTCGCAAACGTAAAATATAGGCTGGCCCTATATCAAAATTTTGTGTTTTGAGGCATGGTAAGACTATAAGAAAGTTTTACCCTTGTATCATTCAAGTGAAGAATTTTGTCATTAACAGCTGTACTAACCACGTATCAGCTGTACTAACCTATCAGCTGTACTTAACAGCTGTACTAACAGCTGTCATTAACAGCTGTACTAACACGTATCAGCTGTACTAACCTATCAGCTGTACTAATACTATAATTTACAGTATTTTGTATGGTACACTTCATGTAATATATGATGAAGTAAACTGTGAGTCAGAGCCATTTTGAAGTTAACGGTTGTATTTAACCATTCAATTTTAACACAAATCTGCGATTTTATGAAGAAGAAGGAAGAAGTAGGCGTTCAGGTGAAGAAATAGACGTTTTGGTCAATCATTTGGTGAGTTAAATTGTAAAAGTCATTTACAGATTTCTTGATAATATTGTCCATTCCGACCATTCGTTATGCACCAATGTAAGAGTTGTGAGTAGATTACAGATGTATCTGACTATCTGTAGGTCATAGATGGTTTGATATTTTCAGTAAACTTTGTGTATGTTTTCTTGATTTGGCAATAACCCATTCAACTCTAGTTGCGTTTTATCATATGTCTCGGCTGCCATCAGTGGCATGTTGAATGAATTTAGCAAAGGGTTTCCTTGTTTACAATTCACATTTGAAGTTCAAAGAGCATGACAAAAACTTCTGTGTCCTTAGGCTCTTGCAAGCTACCTATATATGATTTTTTTTTAAGTTTCTGCTGCTTTTTATCTTTATTTAGAAGCTAGTGCATAATATTAAAAAAAACTAATGTTTAGAATTATACTAAAAAACCCCTAAAATATTTGCTCATTTAGTTAAAGAGATTACCCGAGTAAAGAAATTCTCTTGTGAATTCTTATTATAAACTTTATCATGTAAATATGATCAGTTCTATCTGCTACAAACACTCATTGTATTTTGTATAAATTCTTCTTTCCAGTTTCTATTTACATAGCTCATTTGAACAGGTCATCAGACTTTCAACTGCAATTTAAACTTAATACTTGTTAAAAAACAAATGTTAATTTGGTATTAAAAATAGATAAACCACACGACTTTCATGTAAGTATTGTTTTGCCCAAGGCATCATTTTAACTGTGCTTTTCCATTCCTAGTATTTTTTGTTCAGTTGTAATAAAATGTACAGCAACCTTAAGTATACATAAATCTTCAAACACAAAATTTTAGTATACTTCTTTATTCCTAATTTGGTGAATAAACAAAGTGTGTTGTTTTATACATTGCTTTCAAAAAGCTAGCTGCCAATGGCCAAAACTAGGCCATACATTTTCAAGATGGTAATCAAAAACAAAATAGCATGCAAAATTCTAGACATTTGCTGTGTTTTTTTCTTACAACAACTCCAACTTTCAATAATTTTTGTAGCGATTGCAATGGAAACAAACAAATGAGCCAGGTTGAATGTAATAAAATTTTGGCAGTTGGCCAGCTATACAAAAGTTCAGGTCATATTTTTTTACTTCCAGCCCTGGTCGGTTAGGAAATGTTTTTTTATTTCTATCTGAACTTTATCATACTTCCACAAGAAGTAAATTGATTTGCATCAGCCAAAGAGCATTGGGCTTTTTACTTGTCAATCCTCACAGGCCTTTTAGGAATGTAGACATGTCAAAGTGTCATGGAGAAAACCAAATTTAAGAAATAAAAGATATTTAATAATTTAGTGTTTTTGCACAGGCTTATGAAAGCTGAGGCAACCTTTTAAAGAACTCGATCAGCGCAAGCCTGAGACTGAAGGTCAAGGTTTACACCTGCTAGAGACTTTTAACAAACTTCTCTAATGTTTGCATAAGCCAATGCAAACACAGTATACATTTTTTATAAAATGGCAGTAATATGCAACAGATAAATTTAAAAACAAACGTTTAAATTTACCTTCTTTTATGTACATATTCATGATTAATTTGCAAATTCTTTATAAGGTGCATATGTCATAAAATTGTTTCTTGTTTCAGAAAAAAGATCTTCATAAAGTGTAATGGACTTTCTTTTAACATTGATATTTGCATTCCAATGTTTGGAGATATTGAAGTATTTGTGATATGTCAATAAGTTCCTTTCGTTCCTAGTTAACATATCATAAATAACGAAGGATTTTCCTTAATGCAAATGTAATCCATCATGGTAAACATTTGCATTGTTCTCTTGCCCTAAGGAAATGGTTGCACACCATCTACAATAAATATGTTTATTAGGAAACAACTGAACATGCATTCCATAATTTTCATATCACAAAAACTTCAATAAATTCAAAGCTAAGCATGCAAACAATGTTAAAAAGAATGTCCATTGCAGTTTTTGGAGATATTTTATTTAAAACAATAAAAAAATTCGCAACATAGTTACTTTAATTAATTGACCTCAGATCAGATTGCACAAGCTAATGCAAGCACATCTATCGAAAATGCAATCACCGCACGCGTTTTGTTGTTTTTATTTATGATACAAAATAACTCTGGCTTAACTCCCGCGTATTTAGATGAGGCCATCCAAACATGGAAACCATTTTGTAATTGTTTATGTTCAACACTGCAAATAAAACATGCATGCTGGTTGAATTAAATGAAGTAGCAGGCAGGGTGTGTGTGTAAATTAAATGAAGTAGCATGCAGTGTGCAGGGAGGGTTATTGGGCACTTTCTCTTAAAAAAATTACGCATCTTACGATTTATTTTGTTAACTTATAACTGTTATGAAGAGGAATAATGCAATTTTTCACTTTAACTGAAATAGAAAAGGCTCTTCCTTTTTTTATATTTGCAATTCATGTGCCCACAGCAAGGGCGGTAACAATCAAAGTTTGAAATCCCAGAAAAATTTGCCATCATCAACAAATGGTTGAAGCTTATAAAAAGCGTAGTTATTTTTGTGTTTTAATGTTTATAATGACTAACATACGTATTGTTGCACTCAAAATTAGATAATAATTTGCTTCAAGTAGCACATTTAAGCATAATTCTCGTCTGACATGTCCGTTTTTGTCAGCAGCTACCGTTTAAATATCTAACTTTTGTATCTTTACAAACATTCAACATCACATGTATTTATTAAACTGTTGTATTTGTGCATAAAACGTTCTAACGATGTGGAAAAATGATGATCTTTAAAATGTCATTATGCTCTGTGATGATATAACGATGTTATTTGCATAATGAATAAAGTGAAATATCTCTAAAAAAAACTGCTTGTCAGTTCTACTAAAGCGGTTATGAAGTCTTTTTATATGTTCTTTCCAATACAATCAAAAAAAATTTGCGATAAAATTTTTTGTCATAAACACTTTAAATTTTCTTTAGGGAATTAGAGCTTTTTTACGTCATTTTCACGATTACATTGTGAGATGCGTATGCGCACGCCCATTCTTTTATTTTTAGACTTGGAGCACTTTCAACTTTTGAAGAAAGGGGTCACATATGACATTCTTGTGTTTGAGTGTTTCTTTTTAAATATTTAACCTGTTTCCAACACGTATTGATGTATTGTAGCAGCTGCGTTTATGACAGACACACCGAGTAAAAATAAAGTAAAACAGCGAGAAGAAAATTTCGGGTGAACCTGCATTTGATCCCAATGATATATTCCTTTTGACTGCAATTGTACATAACGTGCAATGCAAGGACATTTGCAAGAGTATCCTAGGTATTAAAATACACATTATTTTTGTGTTTCCATTGTCTTATGGCTATTGGGTGCAATATGTATACGAGTCATACTTCTGCCAAACGGACTTATCTTTTCCACTTCTTTAAACTTTTAACTTGTGGTTTCATGAGCTCGATAAGTGGGCAGTGGCAATATATGTTCGTTTTATGCTGCCATTAAGTTCCTTTTACAGCAAATGTTTTCTGCGGTTTATAACTAACATGCATATATGCATATTGCCGCCCAATTATCAATGCTATCTACGCCACTGCCTTTAACCAATATTGATTTCTTTTGTTATACCCCGCCAAGAAAACAGTTGTCTTCCACTGCCTCTATTATGATAGCAATCACTAGACTATTTTAAAAAGTGCGTTTGTTTTTGTTGACTCGTTCACAAATAAATGGTAGTCCAAATTTGGATTTTTTATACTGAAGTAAATGCTTTTAAATTGTTTTCTAGGCCGCCAACTTTTCGCGGATTGTAATTTTTTTTTGAGTAATGAGAAGACTGTCAATTTTACTCTCAATTTCTGTAGTTTGATGAAATGGCTTCACCACGTAAAAAACGGAAGATTGAGGCAAACGGATCTCGTTTGAGCAAACTGTTAATTAATAAGGGTACAAAAGCCTTGAAACATTCATTGCAATATTTATTAAAACCATCAAATTTATCTGCTACACTAAATGATCCTTCTACAATACGCAAATTGAAATCAATAAAATTCAAAGTGATTAGCAAAGATCAATGGGATCTTCTTTACCCGTCAACTGCTTCACCAGACATTGAAAACTTTGATATTTCATTGTTGACTGTCTTATTGCGAAATATATGTGGTCTAACAGCGCCAGCTGGTGGATGGAATAATCTTCCCTCTCACTCAGATACCTCAGTTTCAGCAAATATTGCAAGAATAAAGTATTATCGAAACAAAGTGTACGGTCACATTACCACAACTAGTTTGGATGACAATGAGTTTGAGCTCTTGTGGCACGAAATTTCAAAAGCGTTGGTTGGTCTTGGTATTCAACAAACTGAAGTAGATGAAATGAAGGAAGCTCCTCTAAGTCCAGATGAGGCAAATTACATTGAAATGTTAAGAGGCTGGTATACCAAAGAACAAGAATTAATCGAAATGGCTGAGAAGACCAAAATTATCGCTTTAAATACGAATGAGAAAGTTGAAGAAAACAAAAAAGTTGTTGAAGGAATAAAAAGTGATGTGGCTAGAATCAAAGAGGAAGTAATAGCAACAAAAGCCGACATAGCGGGAATAATGTTTCATGAAAAAACTTCTTCAGATGTCGAAAAGCTTGGAAAGTGTAATTTCAATGGTCTGATAAAAGATCTTAACAAGAAATACTCTCAAGGCACTAGACAATGGTTATTTGAAAAACTTAACACTTGGTTTAACGAAAAATATGAAGATGCTTCTAATGTCATGGTTTGGATCGCTGGTCCTGGTGTCGGTAAAAGTGTATTTTCAGCTGAGGTGTGTCGAAGATACTCTGAGAAGAAGCTTGCTGCTTGTCATTTCTGCAAGTTTAATCGATCAGACTATAGAGATCCTCGAATGTTGGTAGAGTCATTGGCCAGTACCATGTGTGATACAATATCTGGTTTTAATTCTAAACTGAATGAAGCATTGAAGAGAAACCATTCCAAAGCATCAATCGCTGATGCATTCCTTGTTTTGTTAAACAATCCATTGCATTCTCTGAAAGATCATGAACCAATGCTTTTGGTCATTGATGCATTAGATGAAAGTCAAGTTAACGGCAAAAGTGAATTATTAGAATTGATTGCAGAGGAATTCGGCCAACTACCAAAATGGATTAAAATCTTTATCACTAGTCGTCCAGAACTTCCCCTTCAAAAGCATTTGAAAGAAATGAATCATATGAAAATAACAACTCAACCTCGTGATAGAAACAACGAAGAAGATCTGCAAAAGTATTTGAAATATCAATTAAACAGTTGTTGCTCTGGGAACTCTAATTTTTTTGTTTCTGACTACGTTTTAAGATTGTTAGTTGAAAAATGTAAAGGGTCTTTTCTTTATGCTTATCACGGACAAGCAGAGCTGAAGAGAGAAAATATTGAACTTACCAGCGAGAGTATTAAAGGATTAGTCCCTCACGGCTTAAGTTGTTTCTATAAGAAAGAATTTCATCGAGTAAAAACGTCATTAAAGAAGATAAGTTTTTCAACGCAGAGTGTTGTTTGGGCAGATGAAAACTTTGAGAAATTTCTTGTTGTGTTAGTAGCCTGTGGAGACTTCTTGCCGTTGTGGATTGCTTATGAGTGTTTAGGTTTTTCTGATGACATCAATTTTGAATATATCAATAACATCATTGAAATGATTTTGTCGGGATTTGTTTGCCCGACACAGAAAATCACTCACACAGTTTCGTTTTAACAATATTTATTGTCCCTCTCGCTTGAAACAATTACAAATGTGCTAACAACAGCTCTAACATGCTGTCCCTCTTTTTCTGTATTTTTCTACCAGTGTTGTTGTTGTCTCTACCGGTACGAACCGGCCCTTCCCGACTTTGGTCTCGCGCGACCCACGCGTTAACAAAACTGTTTATACTTTCCGACACCCTCCCCCCATTTGTCTCGCCAGTGACAAATGTCACTAACTACTACCCTCAAAGTTTGAGACTTCCTGTATCCTCTCTCTTGCCACTACTGCTGCGTTTCTTCTAGGCCGGAATTCTTTCGCGTCTGGATCCAGGGTATTGTTTTCTGTGGCTACTTTTGCATCTTCTACTCTATGTAGTTCTAATGGGAATAGATGCTGTGGTGCTCGGTCAATATGCGTTTTCCGTGTTTTAATCTTTGCTCCTCGAACAACTCCATCCCTTCCCTCATACAGTTCCTCTACGATACCTACACTCCATTTTCCTCGATTTCTTTCTTCTCCTTTTATTAGCACTACGTCACCCACTTCTGAGATTTTCCCATTTTTCCATGTTTCAGGTTATGTCTCTCTTAATGATCTTAGATACTCCCCGTCCACATCTTCCATATGGCTTTCTTACATCGCTGAATATGTTTTGCTCTTTTCCTTAATTCCTCTTCTTCACTTGTTTCATCATTTTCAATCACTGAGACGGACGGTTGGCCAGTTATCATGGCATTTGGTGTAAGAATTGGCAATTCGTGGTCGTCTTCCACGTACGCTAGAGGTCTATTGTTTAGACATATCTCCACATCAAGGATTACCCCTTCCAATTCTTTCCATGTGAGGCTTGATCGACCAACTACCTTATAAAATGCTTGTTTCACCAATCCTATCAGTCTTTCATACTGTCCACCCCACCAAGGGGCCTTGCTTAGGTTGAATTGCCACTTGATATTGTTCTTGGCAAGATAGTCATGAACTTGTTCATCTCTTGAGATTTTTCGCACACGTTTGGCTGCGGCCACAAAGGTTTTGGCATTATCTGAGTACACTTTATCTGGCTTGCCACGTCTAGCAACTAACTTCTTGAAGCTATGCATGAATTCTTCTGTTGACATATCTGGTAGCATCTCCAAGTGAACCGCTCTTGTTAGGCTGCATCCCACGAGGAGTAGGTACGCTTTTCCTTCTTTACCTGCTCGTTTCGTATAGATGAACGGACCTGCGTAATCCACACCTATGACTTGGAATGGCCGTGATCCTTCTGTGCGGTCCTTTGGGAGGTTGCCAGTGGGTGGTTTGGCGAATGCACTCGCTTGGAACCTCTTCCAACCGTTGCATCTGCTTCTGACCTTTTTTGTGAGTTGTCGATGACGTGGTATCCAGTAATTTTCCCTCACCGCAGTCATTGTCAGACTGACTCCCCCATGGAGAGTGCGTAAATGTTCGTGCATGACCAACTTCTTTGCCAATCTTGATTTAGCTGTTATGAGTCCTTGACCGATACCCTTGCCTTGTACGATAACTGCATACACGGCTGCTGACGTACCTTCGCCACTAGCATCTCCAAATGCGTGCAAATCTATGGCTTGTATCCTTTCTCTGTGTGTGACTAAACTTCTGGGCACTTCAATTATACTTGGTACTCTAGTACACCAGTTGCGCCAACGGTGCATCAGGTTATCAGAAAGTTGTTCGTCCCAGGGTAAATTAGCTTCACAGATGTCCCTATGGATCATCTTTCCAAGTACACTAATTGGCGAAACTAAACCAAGAGGATCAAAGATTGAAGCAATCTCGCTAAGTACTATCCGTTTTGTTACGTTTTCTTCGTTGAATTTTTCGGGGAAATGGACACCGATTGTATCTTTGCTTTTGTTCCAAGGCATGCCCAATAGTTTTGTCTCATTTTCTCTAGCGCCCAGTCGTTGGTTAGCGTAACTTTGATCGACCGCTGCGTCACTGACCACTGGCTCGCTCGCTTCCAGTTCTTTAAGATTTGAGTGCCATTTGTGCAGAGTGAATTTAGCTCTATCAAAGATTTTGATTGCGGTTTCTTTCAACTGTTGTACTTCCTCCACAATGCACCCTCCCGTAAGCAGGTCATCAACGTACAAGCTATCTCTTATCTCAGCTACTTCTTTGGAAACTCCTGTTCTTGACTGTTGAGATGTTGATTGAGTGTCCCAGCTAAAAGAAACGGTGATTGATTTAATCCAAACAGAGCTCGCGTAAATCGGTAAACTTCGACTTGCTTGGGGTCTTCTTTGCTCAACCAATGAAACCGTAAGACATCTCGGTCTTTTTGCTTTATCCTGATCTGTAAGAACGCTTGCTTTAAATCCGCTGAAAGTGCTACAGGCTTGAACCGATTGCTCACAAGAACATTCCACAAGAGATTCTGTAATATCGGCCCTGTTTCCAAACAGTCGTTCAATGATGGTGAGTCTTCACTTTCCTTGGCTGAGGCATCATAAACCACGCGAACTTTAGTACTTTCTGCTGATTCTCTGACTACCGGTTTGTGTGGGAGGTAGAATTCACGTCCCTTTGCTTCATGTGTCACCTTCTCAATGATTCCTTGTTCTTCCTGTTCTTTCATTATCTGCTGGTACTGTTCAAAGAGTCTTGGCTTTTTCTCAAGCCTTTTGACTAATTTGCCAAGCCTCGCAAGGCTCCCTGCCTTATTACTAGGTAGACTGCTGGTGGTTTGCTTGTACAAAAGCCCTGTCTCATACCATCCTTCTGGACTTTGGATTAACTGATCTTTAAATTCCTGGTAGATTGTTTCATCTCCATTTGACTGATCTTCCAAACCGAGCACGTCTAGGTCGCATAATTTCCTGTAATCTTCCATAGAAGACCTTGCAAACAATGATTTCGTGAGATCCTCCTCAGTTCCTGGTGATAACAACGTCCAACCAAATTTAGTGAGTTCAGCTACTGGTTCACCAGGTTCACCAATGCAGGGCTCCGTAGCAGTTTTGATCTTAGCATAATCACTCGCACCCAAAATTAAATGAACAGGAAGTTGAGGTTTTGTATCAGTATCATCCATTTTGACCTTCTTGAGATGATCAAACTTACTTAAAACTTCTTCATATTTAGGATTGTCAACGAGGAGTAAGTTATTCCGGTCGACCTTTGTTACTTCAGTTTTGAGCTTGTGTTTCTCGTCTAAGTCACTGATTGTTACTTCGTGTACCTCAATTATACGGCTTGTAGACTGCATCATCATTTCTATCCTTTTGAACACCTTCCGCAGCGGTCGCTTATTCAATCTCTCCACCAGCGCTCCTGAAGCGTACGAGCTCCCAGCCCCTGTGTCTAGAAGTGCTCTGCAAATAATTCCGTCAACTTTGACCAGAACGATTGGATATATCACCTTGTTCTCCCCCTTTGCTACCAGCATTTGTTCGGTTTGTGGCTTAACGCCTTCTTGCTCGTTTGGTCTTTTGTCACAGATGGATGAGTGATGCCTTCTTTTGCAATGTTGGCATGTTTGTTGGCTACGACATTCAGACGCCTTGTGTCGTGGACCCGTACAGTTGAAGCACAGTTTCTTTTCTCCAAGAATTCTTCTACGATCACTAACACTGACCACCTTTTTACACTCAGCAGATCGATGACTAGTATCATTGCAATATACACACCCCTTTATTCTCGACTCTTGTTGACGAACTTGAAAGCTCCTTGATTTGCTATGCCTGTCCTGAGAGCCATCATCTTGTTTGACTGGATTTCTCACCGTCCACTTTCTTAGCGCCGATGAACTCCGAAACCTCCATTCTTGCCAGTCGTCATCGGTTCTCACAAGATCGCTTCAATTCCTTCTAGTTTGTCAATTGTCATTCTGACATAGCCTGATACTTCCTTGAGTTTCCCAAGTGTCTCGAGAGATTGTACGCTTGTTAGTAGTGTTTCATAAAATGCATGGATTTTACCAGGCTTAGTTCCTTGAATGTTGGGCAGGTTGATGATGTTTTGAACATAAGCGTTGATGATTTCGCTGGTTTTGCCGTATTTAGTCGTCAAAATGTTCTTAGCTCGTTCATATCCCTCTGATGTGAATGGTAATCCATCAATACATGACCGCACTTTTGGTTCGACAAGCTCCTTTAAGTATGAAAATTTGGTTATACTAGAGACATCCGAATTGTCAATTTCAGCATTAAACTGCCCCCAAAATCTAAGCCAGTCCGTATGTTGTCCGGTAAACTTGGTAATAACCAGTTTCGGTAATTTTGTCGTCAATTTGGTGGCGCCATTTTTTCCGCTTGTGGACTTTTCTCGATTTTCAGACAAGGCCTTCTCGTGCTCCATGCGACGCTCAAATTTAGTTTGTTCTAGTTTCAAATCTTCTTCGCCCTTAACCCGATCTTGTTCGTGTTTCAACTCCCGTATAGCGTTCTCGAATTCTGCCAGTTTCCCTTCAATTTTCTCCGTCCAGTCTCGTACATTGTCTACGTTTTCGCCGCTCTCAAAGTTTAATTCCTGAATCTGCTCTTTTAAAGCGTGTACTTCTTCGGTTTTCCTTTCTAAAGTCTTCCTCTGTCTCTCCATTCCTGCCAAGTCATTTTTCCCCAAGATATTTACTGTTTTCTCGTTTGTGAACTTCAGGAATTGGATTTTCGTCTCGATCGCTTTTACTAGTTTATCCATGTTAATCTCGTCCCATCGGGGGTGCCACTTGTCGGGATTTGTTTGCCCGACACAGAAAATCACTCACACAGTTTCGTTTTAACAATATTTATTGTCCCTCTCGCTTGAAACAATTACAAATGTGCTAACAACAGCTCTAACATGCTGTCCCTCTTTTTCTGTATTTTTCTACCAGTGTTGTTGTTGTCTCTACCGGTACGAACCGGCCCTTCCCGACTTTGGTCTCGCGCGACCCACGCGTTAACAAAACTGTTTATACTTTCCGACAATTTCTCAAATTTTGCCAGTTTACGATGATTGCTTAACCGTGTATCACAAGTCTCTTATTGATTGGTTGAAATCAGATGGTTATGAAAGACATGAGTTTACAGTTGATTCTCAGTCTATAGTGAACGGACATCAGTCACTTTGGCGTGCTTGTGAGAAAGAGTTTCATCACATTAAGTCCTTGAACATTTTTGAAGATCAAATAAACACTGCTATGACTAAATATGCTTTGAAGAATGGGATATATCATATGATAGAATGCGGCAAAAATGTCGACTACAGTTGGGCAGTAGATGTTAAAATTGTGTTTTTAATCTTAATGATGACATGCATTAACGGTATAGAAGGCCCGTGGCTGGAAATTGTCAAGAGAAGACCAACTTTCTTGAGCAAAGATCTTCAAGAGGAATTTTTGAGCCATATCATGATGGTCAGTTTTCACCCTTTTGTGTGTGATTTCCATTTATACTATTTACAATTTATTGCAAATAGAATTGACTGGAGGGACGAAAAGCGATCTTTGGCAAGGAATTTATTACAACCAGGAAAGTTTGTTTGGTTTGAGGATTTAGAGTCGACATATCTATCAAAGAATCATCATTCGACTATCTCCTTGCGTGCTAACGTCACATCTCTTTGTTTGTCGTCCAATAAAGAACTCCTTGCAGTAGGGTATGAAAATGGTCAAATATCTATTCTTGAGCTTCCTGAATTCAATGAACGATGTACTCTCGGCTCTGTACTTAACGATTTGAGATCAAAACAACATGACAAGAAGCACACATTTCCTGCCTATATTAAATATTGGCAGTATGTAATCAACTCACGTGCGGATACATCAGTGAATTTTGGTTTAGTACCTGGAAATATCCGTTGTTGTTCCTTCTCACCAACAAACAATAAATTGGTAACTTGTGATGGATCCACTGAAGTAAAGCTTTGGGATGTCTACAATGGATGTTTATTGTCATGTTTGCAATCAGGAGGAGACGTTGATCGCTGTGTCTTCTCGGATTCTGGATTGTTCATCGTAGCAAGTCACATGGATCAACCTGAAGATATATTCACTGCATGGAATGCATCAACTCTGCAAAGAATAGATCCACGCACCGTTGAAATCACGCATCAAAAATATGACATGATTACTGAATGTGTTAATTCGGTCACGTTTAAAGAATTCTACGTTGTGCCCTATTTCAGCAAGCTGATTATTTTCAAAACAACTGATCATCATCGGAGACAATCGTTCATTTTCAATAACAATGCAATCAGATGTTGTTGTTTTTCACCTGACGGATCTTTTTTGGCTGCCTTTACTATCAGCAACCTTGTCAACATTCTTATTTGGAACATTGAGAGCTGCGCCATTGTTCAAATTGAACCAATGCAACTGAAGAATGCTTTAGGATGCTGGTGGTCAGATAATTTGCTGTGGATATGGGATGGTTCTGATCATCTTACAAAGATATCGACTTCTTCTGACTACTTTGTTGATTTGACAAAGGCGAAACAGGTAAACATTGGATTCCAACCCAAGCGAATCTTAACATTTGGTGATGTCTTCGTTTGCATTGACCAAAAAGATGTCGTTCGAGTTGTTAAAATCAGCAAGGGCGAGATAAAATACAATAAAGAACTTCCTATCGATAGTCTGGAATTTAAAGTAGCTGTATCACCTGATTATTCTGTGATTTTCACTGTAAACAATACAGAGTTTACAATATGGAAATGGAGTAATACTAACCACGAACTTTACTTGGAAGCTTGGCACACTGAAGAAATAACGTCTTTCATTGAAAAATTTCTACCAAAACTGATAACTATTGAAAAGATCCACTTCAATTGCAGCTTTACGGAGGAAAGTAAACAAGCGATCCTTTTATTCTCTTTCAAGGTGATTCGTTCAGGATCACGACAGGGAATCTGTCTTATTGATGTGCATTCGACGAGTAATGTGGACGTAATTTGGTCCAATGAGAAATTTCCAGACAAGGCCTTATTTGCTTATAAATCGTACTGCATTGGAACAGATTTATTTCGTGGAAGTGGTAAATTGGATTGTTTGATCGCTCAAGACTTAAAGAGTGGTAAAAAGTGTGTTAAAATTTTTACATATGACGAGAATGTTTATGACCCTCCTATGATAAATATGCATTCTGCAACTGGAACTGTCGCTTTAGCAACAGATAGTGGATGTGGAGTTGAATTTTTTAAAGTAAATGTTCCTGAATGAATTATTATTGATCAGTGTCTGAGCTTTTGGCATATGAACATATGAAAAACATGTTGATATCTCTTGACAAAGACATAATACTTAAATTGTTAAATATCCTTATTTAGAGATACATTTTTTGTAAGTATTGTTAACCTGTGGAACGCTTTACCAGAAAACATTAAGAATTTTTCATTTTTAGCTATTGAAAAAACCCCAACTATATTAATTTATATATTATTATATTGAATAATGTTTTTGCAACGAACAATGTGCGTATAGATATAAGATAATCTGTCCTAAATGGAGGAGATTAAAAGCCATTGCTTTAGAAGGTACACTTTAATGATTTCACACGATGAGGTGATTAAATTAGATTGTTTTAAGCTGTTTATGTGGAGAAAGTGCAAAAGATTTGCGTTGTTTTTTGAAGACAGTTTACCAGCTAATATCGTTACGAAAGTGAATGTTTTTATAACTCATGATTGGATTTGAAGGTGTATCAATTAAAACAAACCCATATACTTTCATTATTGTGCATGCCAGCCACTGCAAAGTAGCATAACAGCCAGTTCAACTTTTCATACTCTTGGGATTTTGAAATAAGTAGGGTATACAAAAAAAGGAGGTTTTTAGAAAACGAGATCATTTTTGACAGTTGACACTAACCATTATAAGCCCTCCAATGTATAAGCCAGGACTATAGGCGGAGAGTTCCGGTATACACTTTATTAAATATTTTTCGTTGACTAGTAGTAAGTTTGTTGGTAGTTGCTGCAGATGCGAAATCGAAAAAGTCTGTTAGTGAGTGTCTGTCAAAATGATTGATTTCCATTGGTTTACCTCGATGAAAAAAGGAGCCTGTAGCCGGCTGTCAAAGATGTGGCTTGTCAAAGACATAGGAAACAGTGAACTGTAATATCACAAAGACCATACTCCAGTTATAATATGTACTGTAGAACTCTCAAAGGTAGGAGTTAGCATTCTTTTTCTCAGTCCAAAGTATGGTATGCGTTTTTTGGAGGCCAAAATCGATTCCCGGTTGTAAGCTACAGTGGCCGACTATGATTTTTTTCACTTTTTTGTATATTTTATGCGTATATACTAGGAAATACTACAATCTAATTGTTGAACAATACTTTCCTTTTTATCGTAAATTGAGATGGTTTAAGCTACTCGTACTTTGCAAAGCATGTTTGTGCTGCTTTTATACTCATTCAGTAAATTATAAGTCCGTGAGTCATTGCTTGATAAAAAGACCTTTTTCGTGTTTAATTCAACTGCTAACAGAACTTTTAATTCAAAAAACGTATCTATGTCATCCACACCGGAAAAATGGTAAAAATGGTAAACTATGAATGGTTTCAGTTGTTTAACTGAATTCCAAAGGTTGCGATTACTGTCTATTCATGAATAAGAAAACACAACAGAAAAACAACCTTTGAACTATTGTTTACATGGCGATTATTACAAGTATGTTTGTATTTTGAAAAAATCTTTTGATTTGCATTCCATATAGGTGCAATATTTAATTATTTGATAGCTAAAACAAGTAAATAACGTCAGAATCATAGAATAAAGAAGAAAGAAGAAAGAAATGGCTTTACGATGGATTGGATTGCGTGTAATGACCATTTTGTCAAACTGCTCTTGGCGAAACGTTTATTCAAGACGATTGTTTTCGAGTGAAAAATCACTGGAAAAGTTTTCACATTAAAAGTCCGGGGCCGGTTGGACGAAGCCTGGATAGCGTTATCCATTGGATAGCAAAAATGTCCAAACTTGTAAAAGGTGTTTAATATTTTTCTTACGACAACGATATTTCGTAATCTCAGAAACAAGATTTTCTTTCAGTGATTGTTCAGTTTGAATCTTATACTTTTTGCTTATTCAAAGGTTTATAAAAGCTTAAAAAACTTGCTATCCTTTGGATAACGCAATCCAGGCTTCGTGCAACCGGCCCATGAGCTTGATAGGAATGCATTTCTGAAATGAGCCTAATTTTACGCACATAACTACATCAACTAACAATTATGTCAAACTACCTATAAATCTACAATAACTACTTTTGAATTTTGTATTATGTATTTTCAGCTCATCATTTGAAAATACAGTATCAGTAATTATAAATAAAATATTTACTGACGCAACTGGGTAAAATACATTACTTAGAATGAAATATACAATATGTACCTTCTATACCTTAAACCAGAGCATGCTCAATTAGCTTATCAATGTTTTTATATATGTTTGGTCTTTATGATTAAGGAAAAACAAACTGAAGTTTTGTCATTACCAAACTCAATTTTTTATGCTAAATTAAAATTGAATCAGATTCATATGTTTGTACAAACAGTAGCATTTGTATCAAATAAGATTAATCTTCTACAACAGAATTGTTTCATAATGGCCAAACAAGAAGTTCCTTTTCAACAAATGCCTCACATATCCTTTAACACAGAATCCTATACTAAATGCATTGGAATTCAACTTTAACTATTATCACTGGTTCACAGGAAAAATGAAAAAACATCTTCCTCACATCAGATCAATAGAACATTAGAGAGCTACTATATTTAACAAATACTTAATAACTAAAAAAGTACATAATTTTCCTGCAAAAAACTTAGCAATCTCTCTGCATTAAATTTTCAAGCTTAGATCACATTGCAAGATATGCACTAATCACTACCTAAATTGCATGAAAATTTAAATACAAATCTCCCAAAAGCAAAATTTCACGAGTGCTTCGAAACAAAACTTTGTCCAACTATGGATAACACTGATTCAATGGCAGGCACACTTTAAGTCAAAATAAATTATAGCAGCTCAATTTTAAATTCAAAATACTTTTTAGTTTTAGAATAAGATTGTGGATGATGAA